CTATTCTCCTTTTCTTATACCAATCCAGTGCATCGATTTAATATGCTTTAAGACAGGATCTTGCTAATGAAATAATTACAATTTCTTGTCCTATCTAATTACTTATCAATTTTTTTGCGCCTCGATCTCTACCTTTTTATTTATTTATATAAGCCTTCCTTCCTGCTTCCCAACCTTACCTTGCTGCTAACTTCTTCCTATTCTTCACAACCCTCAGTCCGGTGCTTTCTCCTCTGTCATTCAGGCCCCTCTCGTCTGTCGCTCACGTAAATATTCTCGCCTCGCCGGCCAGCCCCATAACACCGGTGCAAACTCGCGCACATGTATTGTTACCTCTCCTTGCCGCCTCTAAAGTCTCCTCAGGCTCACGACCACGCCTCCATCCGGCTTCAGCTTTAGGCGCGCTTTTGCGTCCTGAGCAGCTTTTGTTCTCTGGACCTCCACCTCCGGCGCACGAGCAATTTCCAGGCCTCTTGCTCTCTCCACAAATACCAGTTAATCCTATCCCGTCTGGACTTGCTTTAAATAGTTCGCCTTTCAATAATGGCTCTTATCCTTCTGTGCCTCAACGATGCGTTTTGCCTTCCGAGTTGGCGACTACGAGTAGCTTCCCATCACTTGAGACCGTGGTTGACCAACAACCGATTTATTCTGTATCTTTACGAAGCCGATCTGGAACCGCCTTAGCCCATCAATCTCATCGTCATCATATTGGTTCATCGCTATTGTCGGTTGGTACTGCAGATGTGCCTTTCGGCCCAGAGCCGATAGGTCATGTCATCGAGTCTGCTCTCTGGTCTGCCTTTCAGTTGGCCGGGCTTTTGGGCCTCCTATTAACAGGTCAGGTAAAGGATTCAGATATGAGCATCTCAGAAGTTGCGGAAATTGACACAATTTTGATACCTGTTGAAGAAGAATTGAGGGATACCAGGACTGCAGAACAGCATCAAATGAAAGATATGACAACAGATCAAGATCGAGTCGGAATCCGAGCTGATATAACAACTTTTTCACCAAGGCTTCCTAGCCCTTTGACATGGTCTTCACCTTGCTCTTTACCATCGAAGCCAGTTTCAGTTTCTAATTCCAGTTGCGCTTCATCTTTCTACAAGCCCGTTCATTATGCTGATTCAGGCAAAAAGACGCCTGTTTTAGCTACCAGTTCCCATAGCTATGATACTGGAGGTGGCGGAAAATCGGGCCAACTGAAGGAGATGTGCACAGGAGCCACTCCCGTTGAGAGTGGCCTGCTATGCACCAGTCCTGTTGGAGCTCCTGTAATAGCCAGCTTTGGCGAAAGTTGGATCATGGCGCTGGATAGCTGCAAGTTGGACCAAGACCAGGATGTTGCAGTCAGTTAATCTATTTTGCATATTTCTGAGGCTTTATAATATTGCAAATGTACTTTTCTTAGCACTGGCTTATTAATTATATACTCCTTTCCATCCTCCAAGTTATGGTTCATAATCACTTAATTCTTTCTTCAATATATTTTAATATATTTAAGTGCAGTCGTCCAAAAATATAAGTTTTCACTGGTCGCAAGCTATCTGTAAGTCGATCACTCTTCCACTTATTATAATTGTTTGAAGATCGGTTAAGAGTTATGCAACTCTCCTAATGCTTATGCGAACAAAAGTTGGGTTTCGAGGAATCTCTTGTTTCATAAGTGTGCTAAGCTTTCGTCCGTCAAAGGAGGACACTAGGCTCAACCATAATTTGCCAAAACATCAAGACCTTCTAAGTGAGCCTTGTAGTTTATTTAAATTGGGGACAAACATGATCCCATAGCTAAATCTCGTGTTTGTTCATACAATTTACTAGTGAAAGTAAAATATGTACATCTTATCACTCAATTCATCAACATCATCATTGACTCCTTACTTCCATTTCGAGTGAAAGTGTTTGGTGAAGAGATTTGATGGTTGATCCCACCAGAAGATGACGGCGGATTCCTCTTGACCGGTTGTCGATTGGCTTTACTTAAACATTCATGTTGACGTTGTTTCCGAAGTAATCTCCTTCGATTCCGGTAAAAGCGTGTTAAACTTTCGTCCGTTGTATGACGAGCATCATCTGAGCGTGGTATGATTCTTACAACCAAATTTAAGCTTACGAGTCAAGAAAACTCCAGCAGCTGTAGCCCAAAGTAATTGAAGTAGAAGAAGTAACGTCTCTTCTCGGCTATCAAGGTTTGATGACCACCTTCATTCCCTACCCCTCTTTAGATTTCTTTTCTTGACTTGTTAGCTTGAATTTGGTTGTAAGGATGATACCCTGCTCTGATGATGTTCGTCTTACGATGGACGAAAGCTTGGCACGTTTTCACCGGAATCGAAAGAGATTATCTTATAAAGAGCGTTAACACGAATCTTTAAGTAAAGCTAATCGAAAACTGGTCGGGAGGAATCCGCCGTCGTATTCTGGTGGGATTGAGCTTTGAATCTCTTCACCAAACACTTTCACTCGAACAATTTTTATCTATTTTTTTTCTTTTTTAAGAATATTTCAGTTTAAAATCTGATCTTTTTTCCAGGATCACTGTCTTCCATCTTTTGGAACTTTTACGGGAAGTAGCCGTCGACAGAATTATTCTCACCATCTAAAGCGTTATCAGCATCAGCATCACGATCAAAATAATCTCAAACTAGATTATAATACGAATTTGTCCAGAGCCGAATTAAATTCTTCTCTCAGACTTTGCCCAACGGCTGGTACGGGTACTCACGAATTTAGCTCAACTCCCTCTAATGCTTTATCCAAAGATTTATCTTCATTATCTACCTCACCGTCCCCGTCGACAACTGGTGCTTACTTCTTTGCCTCTTTTGGCCGTGCATTTGCTGGCAGAAACCGCCCAAGTGTTGTTCATTTTTTTCGTGGGCATCAACATCAGCAACAACAACAGCTTCAACTTTCAAAATCTCAAATAAAATCACTACCAGATCGGGCTCTATTTTCTAAGCGAAACACGATGGCTATCGATAGTACCAAATCCATAGCCAACACTTACTCACCTTGTTCGATCGAACAGGTTTGTTTACAGACTAGTGATTAAATTTATCAGCAAATAGAGATTTACACGAATGATTCTCCTTAATCGCCGAGTCTTTCCCATGCTTTAATTTAAACTTAGATGCGAATACCTTAATGGTCTGACCCTTTGTTTGGTCGCAGTCTCCGACTCGTGGCCTTGTTTTCGAAGCGTCAGGGAGATATTGTGGAATGTATCTAGTCCTGCATCCTCTCCCAGCCTCGGACTGTTGACTTGCTATATTCCCAGACCTTCCTATATTTTAGTAAGTCTCATGGTCAAACATTTGCTACATGGACAACGTCTCTTATAAAACCTACTGTCAGCCAACTAGCTACAGTCTCCGCCGCGTCTATCCTACCTCTTACTTGTTGAGCTTACTTCCATTTCGAGTGAAAGTGTTGGATGAAGAAATTCGAAACAAGAGAATCCACGAAACCCAACTTTTCTTCGCATATATTCTGTTTCTATCCAAAATACCAAGTCTATGACTTGCCATGCCCTAGCCTCTTGTAGCCCAACCCACAAATGTGGTTCAACATTATACCTAATCAAAGCAAGCAGTATCACAACATTTGTGGGTTGGCATACAAGGTACTAGGGAGTAATATACTTGGTATTCTGGATAGAAACAGAATAGATGCGGCGGAGACTGGAACTAGTTGACTGTCAGTAAGTTTGTTTTACCATAGACGTGGTCCATGAAACATTGGCTTGACCATGAGAATTATTCAGGGGCTTTAGCCTCAAGTTAATCTCCCAAACGCAGAGTGTGGGAAATAATGCCTTGCATAGCAGAGATGGGATGGCAGGGGTCGAGTGAAATACTTGAACCAGGGAGATAGCAGACAGATCTTACGAGGCAAAATGGAGATTCTGATTAAACTTAGGGGAGGCGGACGGCGTAACGATATAGCAGACTGATCAACAGTGCCATTACAAAGGCGAAGGGGGGTAAAAACGCCAGCATTGAGTGTGTAGGGTTCTCGGGAAATCCGCTCAAAAGAGCACACCACACTAGATTTTTATAAGCAAGCAAAGAAATTGCGACAGTGAAGGCGTGATACTAGGCTAAAGGGAAGGTCAATAGCCAATGGCACAATTGTTTAGCACACATTTGGTCAAAGGATCGGCTTCACTTGTCTCTTTGAAGAGTTGTAGTATGGTGCTAAGAATGGCAAGACTCACTGACCATGCCGACTACGATGTCGGCTAAACGTCTGGGAAGGTACCACGTCCACGGTCCGACTTTGGAAATGATCATGCAGACAATGGACTCCGGACTAGATGTGTTCCGCTGCGTCTTCCTATCAATATGACCAAGTTGCGGAAACAAGGTTAAACAACTATTATAGAAGAAAAATTATAGTTGAGAATGATTACCAATCAGGATTAATTAAGAATTGCTTCAAAATACTTGTGAATATGATTGAAGGAAGCATTTATTTGGGGCAAGATAGGCTGATGGATTACTCGACTAAAGTTATCCTCATGTCAGCTCTCGAAAAAGACAGGAGAATTATTGAGGAAGTGGGACATTAGTACAATGTATAAGGAGAAAATGGTACTTTCCCCAATAAGGCCATCTTCTCTAGAAGGCTTGTGGATACAAAAGCCAGAACTGGTGGAACACAACATGCACAGGAAACTAGATAGACTGGTCTAAAGCCAAGCATTTAGCTTGATATGGTAACTATACCAGTAAGCGGAAAATTGAGGAATTCATATAAATCATTTAAACAGCCAACACTGAATAAAAGGGATTAGTGTAATAAAAGTAAGTGGGAACTACTTGTGGTTGTTGGAGAGGATTAGAGAGGGAAAAAGAGGGGGGAACAAGAGGTGTCGCAAAGCAAGAGGAGGTTTGATTAGCCTCAAATCTGGTTTTCACTCTCAAACCCCACGCGTCTTACGAGCATTGCATGCACACATTGCACGTGGCATGGAACGCAATCACATGTGGCAACATGGCAGGATTAGACAAAAAATGTGTTTTATAAGAGGATGCAGCTATTCGGTCAAAATTGCGTCTGCAGCCACTTGACTTTTCAACAGCTTGTAGGAAAATCATAGGATATCCAGTTAACTCATTATATATCTCACTAAGTGGTCATAAGCTATAGAAAGTAGGTTCGCATTGCAGCCGGTTACCTTTCTCATCTTTGTGCTTAGTGAATTGTCGTAAGGCATGGTGTCTTGCTCTGACGAAAGCCTAGTACGGATTCATTGTGGTCGCG